ATTTAGGTTTTATAAAGACCTTACTGCACAGCAGAATATTCATGATAATCAGATGTGCTATAAATGTAAGGAATATGGAAGGACCTCTAGAAGAGTTGAAGAAATTACTCTACTTCAAAGAATTCATAATGGTGAGCAACCCTATGAATGTACTTTCTGTGGGAAATCCTTTAGAGCACATGCACAACTTACTCGACATCAGAAAATCCACACTGATGAGAAACCTTACAAATGTATGGAATGTGGCAAGGACTTTAGATTTCATTCACAGCTAACTGAACATCAGAGAATTCATACTGGTGAGAAACCATACAAATGCATACAATGTGAGAAGGCCTTTAGAATTAGTTCACAGCTTATTGAACATCAGAGAATTCACACTGGTGAGAAACCTTATACATGTAAAGAATGTGGGAAGGCTTTTGGAGTCTGTAGAGAACTTGCTCGACATCAAAGAATTCATACTGGTAAGAAACCCTATGAATGTATGGCATGTGGAAAGGTCTTTAGAAATAGTTCATCCCTGACTAGACATCAGAGAATTCATACTGGTGAGAAACCCTATAAATGTAAGGAATGTGGGAAAGCTTTTGGAGTGGGTAGTGAACTTACTCGACATCAGAGAATTCACAGTGGTCAGAAACCTTATGAATGTAAAGAATGTGGAAAGTTCTTTAGACTTACTTCAGCCCTTATTCAGCATCAGAGAATTCATAGTGGTGAGAAACCTTATGAATGTAAGGTATGTGGGAAAGCCTTTAGACACAGTTCAGCCCTTACTGAACATCAGAGAATTCATACTGGAGAGAAACCTTATGAATGCAAGGCATGTGGGAAGGCCTTTAGGCATAGTTCATCCTTTACAAAACATCAGAGAATTCATACTGGTAAGAAACCCTATGAATGTAAGGAATGTGGGAATGCCTTTAGTATGGCCAGGGACCTTACTTGATATCAAAAAAAGTTATGGTGGTGAGAAGTCTTTTGAATGAAAGGCAGTATAAAGGCTTTTGTTTCTGAGTTTCACTGGAAAAGCCTGTGCATTTAATAAGTAGTAATCAAGAGGGTTCAATATCTCTCTTATTAAATCTCTTTTCAGACTTTATGGTCACTCTATTTGTAAGTAGAATTGCTCAATCTTAGGTGATACATACTTTCACCTTTGTTAGATATTGTCAAGTATTTTTCCCTTTTGTAGCAATTAACATTCTGAACAGCCATTTATGTAGAATGGTCCCTATTAATTCACTTCCACAATGTGTGGAAAATGTTTTTCTCTATTTGAGTTATTTTCATGAGTTTCTTGTCCAGTCATGTTGTGCTTACAATTACTTTTTTTGGTGTTTGTGTTTTTGTTCTTTTGTCTATTCATTGTTTTGGGCTTATTGATTATAATATCACTTAAAATGCATCTTTTGCATTCTAATTTTTTGCTTGTTATATATATGACATACTTATCCTCCTCCAGAGAGTTAGAATTCCCAGTCAGATACTATGTGGTTTTAAAGGTTTTGGGCTCTGCAGTGTTTGTGTAGATTTTGTTTGTTTGTTTGTTTTTTCTATTGTTTTTGTTTTAATGGTAGATATAATCTCCTTTCCATTGTCATCAAATGGTTGACTTCGTTTTGAATTTCTGTTTTGTTTTGACATGATACTTCCCTAAATACTTACCACAACACAATTGCTTCAAGGAGCCTTTTCACCTCTAGGTAGTACCAGTCAGGCTCCAAAGGAAAGGAGCACTTTTAGTTATATCGTAACATTTATGAACCCAATCTTACCAGTTCTTAAAAGAAGGGAAATTTGTTAAGCACCTTTAAAAGGAGGGAAAATCTAAAACTACTGCAATGATTATAAACTGATTACCAAACTTACATTAAGAGGGTTTACAACTCTATTATTACCATGGCTTCAATTGGGTTTTGTATCTATAATTTTCCTTTTTACTCCCTTTCAGTGTTGCCTTACTGGGTTTTGGCAGTTGAGACCTTTGATTTTAGGAATGTCACTTGAATCAAAAAGGAAGAAAGAGATAGATGGAGAGAAGGAAG